CTTGTCAGCATGCATTATTAAATCGTGTGTGTTTGGCATTGCCAGAAGCCTGCATCATGCACTGCATCTAGAGTCTAGTTCCTCCCGAATGTGCAATACCTGTCTACATGCACACAACTTATGAACACTTGTGTGACTTATATATATATATATATGACTTACATATATATATATATAGATATTATGTTGTAACGTTGTATATATATATATACATATTATATAACTATGTATATTCGTTATATATATATGTGAACAAGTTGGCTAATGTTTTGAGCATTGATATATTCAAATGGTATAACAAAGCGCTGTCATGTGCTGGTCTTGTTGCTTCTATCCAACAAAAGCAGCGCAGTGCTGTTATTGTGGGCTGCAGCATGTGGTGATAGACCTGCTCATGGCTGAAATGATGTCTTTGAACAGCGGTTCATGCTGCGCAACATATTTTGGTTCGCAGTGAAGCCGCGCGCTCTCGCAAACACAGGGCCTTCATTCAGACTTGGGTTGGTGCATGTTGGTGCTGGCTTGGACTTGTGGAAGGCCTTGAAGTTTATTCCTTACCCAAAGGGTCCAAGTACCTGATGAGGATGGCTTTTGGGGGGTAAAAAGGGGTCCAAGTACCTCCTTGGAAGGTACTTGGACCCTTTGGGTTAGGACGAATTGTCTGTGCATGCGGACTTGTTTTGGTTTCTGCATGTTGCTTTTCCAAGGACGGGACCCAGGATTGCCGCATTGCGCCCAAAGACATGTCCTCTCCGCAGATCGCAATCTCCCGCTGCCCGGTTTGAGGATGACGCATGAGTCGAAGACTGGCTGGACGTTGAGTTCAGTTGTTTAAGCTTCTACGGGTTGTTTTCCCATTCTTTTCAACCATCGTTCTTTTCGAAAAGCAGCCGTTTTCCCCGGGTTTCTGGAGGTTTTCTAGAAAGAAGGATCCCTGGAAAGAATAGGGGAGGTACCCCTAGAAACCTGATTTTCCCTTGTGCAGGTGTGAGCAGCATACTTTCTACCTGGACTCTCAAACTACCCTTTAAAAAAACTGTGTGATTGCCCTAAAACTATCAAGGGTAGTTTGAGGGTCCAGGTATATATTATTCGATGAATGTGTGTGGGCTTGTTGAAGCTTTCCCCAGGTTGTTTGAACAGGATCAAGGAGAAGCCGACACCCAAAGTGCACATGTGTCTTATGGGTGTGTCTTTTTTGAACGTACCCATTTTGGTAGGCGTTCAAGGGAGAACCAAAAGGAACACCCTTGCGAAAGTTTCGTTTGACTGTCGTAGCAATCCCGCGGCGCTGGTTGGAGGTCCTTCATGGAGTTTGAGAGCGTGTAGTTGTTTGTTTTTCATGTGGCACGTGTTTGGAGTGGAGGAGTGGGTGCAGAGTAAGCGAACTGAGGCTCGATGGGGGACATGATCTTCAAAGATTCGGGCGTTTCTGCGACGCCAGAGATTGTCCAGTGGCGCTTTCCCAATGCCGCGGATGCCTACCTCATGATTTGCAGCGACGGAGCGACCGGCAAATACCCCGTGCCTTTTTGGATGAACTGGATACAGTGAGGCCCCGGCAGGGGTGCAAGAAAAAACCGCGGGGCTTGTTCTGTAGCAGACTTGCCGTGAGCCAAGAACTTGCGCACCTGTCTCTCCGGGGCAATTATGTTGAGGCCGAGGAGGTAGGGTTTGTTTGTTGATCTAGAGTTTGAGCTCCATGGGTTTATACTCTTAGTCAGCCTGTTTGTTATTTTGAATACTTGGCGATTAAGTGCCACCGAATGCCACAAATTGGGCTTGGGCATTTGGACTCAATATGACTGGGTGCCCATGAGGAGGTCTTGTCCAGGTCATGAAAGACCAGAACATGGGTAAATTCGTTTAAGGGACATCTACTCTGAATGCCGTCATCGCCAGTTGGGATTGGCAAACAACAAACGAAAAAAAGAGACGACCAGCACAGTTGCACTAGCCCGAGGAGTGAACCGCACATCGTTTTACCATCAGCTTACACGACAAAACGTTCGTTCATGGCTATGGTCATTGAAGTGGTCTGTCTCTGATCTGTTGGTAGCAGTTTGGCGATGCGTGGCGTAGATCTGACCGACCCAAAGGTATCTGAGCCACGTGCTCAAAACCCGGGTAGATGAAGGTTAGTAAGGGCCAGTCCCAGCCAGAAACCCAGAAACAGCTGCGGATATCCGTCTTGGTATTCCTTTCATGGTTCTGGGTCAACCATTTTGATACCGGGTACGCCAACCCTAATCCAATCCTAAGTCAACCCAAAACGGACCCGAGCCAACCGCAAACGACTCCTACACCAACCCAAACTAACCCACCCAAATTCAAGGCTCATGAGCTCCGCGAGGATGGTAAAGCTAACCCCATTGGCCATGAGTGTTGTGTTTTTGGTTTAAGTACCAGTGGGAATTTACAAAGGGATACCATGAGAGACATGAATAGGGAAATCCCGACCAGAGCTAATAGGTTTTGATTATGACTCATTTGCTACTCATTTGTCATTGGCTGATGGGTCTTTTCTCAGTTGCCCAAAGCGAATCGACCCGAAATGACCTTTTGGTTGTCCAATGTTGGTTTCCTTTCGTAGTCATGGTTCCAATAGGTCAACCTTTTCTTGGTGGCTCTCAGCCATCCGGTTCCTTAGCTTTGTAGCTTTTTTGGGATTAGTGATTGAGATTCTGTATTTAACCCACTTAAAGTCAGTCACCTTTAGCAGGGGATCTGAAAACGGACAGCCCAGTGAGTTCTGGGTCCCATCCAGTATATCTGCCCGACCAAAAAAAACACATCAAGGCATCCGCTTTTATAGCCTTCCAGTGTTTAGTGGTTGGATTTTCATTTCACCCACTGAAAGTTATTCCCTGTCAGATCGGGGGATCTGAAAACGGACAGCCATAAAAAAAAATCCAGCAGCTGCTCCGCCAGGAGTCTGGGAATTTCTGAGCTCCCAGGAGGTCGCCAACTTCGTGACCACGGCCTTGGGGGAGGATTCCTCGGCACCCGAGGCGCGGGAAAGTCGATCCAGCCGCTCGCAGCGAGCGCTCAGACTCGCGGATTTGTTTTTGCCTCGGAGCCAATTTGCGGGGGGGGGGGGGGGGCATGAAAGGGAGGGTACCTTTTTTATTCCATTTGGCTAAGTTTGTTTCCCCTGTTGGTTTTAAAGGGGAATCTATCACTACTGGAAATATTGTCATTTTTTCCGGGGGACTTGCGCAAATGGAGGTTTTAGATTTTACATGGCTGTTCCCCAGAGTTACCCGCTACGTCGTTTGGGAGAATGCTGTGTGCTGGGCGCTTGGTCAGCTTGATTAGATGAAACCCTGCTCGAGTCGCGAAGCCTTTCCGAAGCGAAGCGGCGGAAGTTGTGTTCTCCCCATCCGGGCGCCTGGGCGATGCTTGGAATGTGTTTCTTTGCAGAGCGGAATTGGGAGAGCATTTTCCTCGGAATTTGCAAAGAGAGGCCTCGAGCCCTATATACCGTTGAAGGACAATGCGAGGGTCGGGGAGATCCAGAGGGATCCGGGATACTCGCATGAGGTAGAAGGCTCAGAGTCTGTAAATTTCCAGGCGCCACGTACTATCCGAAAAGTTTGAGATGCGCCTTGAAAGTTCAACCAGACACAACCCCGAGCCAGATGTGCCCAATTCACTTGGAGCAAGCTTTTGCAAGTCAAACAGTGGACAGGTCTCTCACCGGTGACCGCTGGCTGTGGGGTGGTGACAATCCATGATTCCCCCATTCTCCAACCAAAACAATTAAAGATATGTATGTTTTTTGTTAGGAAAATGATGATATTTTAGTAAACACAATACATAATATATATATATATACTATTAAATTCGTGTAGTGACTTCGGGTTGTGTTTCGCCTGAGGTGGTGGCTGATGTGCTGAAGCTCTCCAAGAAGTGCTGGCGTCAGCATGAGGCAGGAGAAGGACGTAGCGCGCCAGTGGGCAGATTGAGTTGCTTCAGACACCTGGGCGAATGGTGCGTCCTGCTTGGGGGCAACCACCTGCGCGCAGTTTCTCAGGGTGGATGGGGCCACCATACTTGGCTGTTCGGCCAAGTTATTTGGGTGAATTAGAACCACCTTACACAACTGAATTCACCCCAAATGGTGGTTTATGGGGGGAATAGCCCCCCAACCACCTTAATTCGGGTTGGTGAAATATTATAATTCACCCAGATGCACAGCTGCAACCGCCTGTCCCCGCGCCCGGGGGAAATGCATCAGCCCTCTGAATCATCTCGGAAGATTCAGCACCAGGATGATTTCATCAGATGGCAAACCTGCCGTGCGGATTGGAACACATCGGAGGGTATGTTTTTGTTTAGCGGCGCTTCATAGCGTGGCATAGCAGTAGCCATGGTTGTCGTTGGGACACAGTTTTTACATGTTTGCTTATTGTGGATTAGTGGTTGAAATCCAACCATTTAGCTGCTAAAATTGAGAATGTTTGCTCCCCCTAACCCAACGTGAACTTAGCATTTGAAAGGGCAGAAGGTCCACCCCCCCACCCCCCCCGGCCGGGTCCCCCCAGCTGCCTGTGAAAGCGCGACAGACACTAATTTGTTGGATCCTAGCGCTTTTTAATGCGCGGTGCAGTGGCCAAAACATGGTTCGTCATGGACGAAATCCGGTACTGTTCCACCTACAATGGATGAAACCCCAAAAGTACGGGGATCCCTTTGCCGGTGCACCTAGTTACTTCACATATTCAGGGAGTGCACGAAAGGTTTCCTCAAATTGGTGCTGGTTTGTCGCGACAGCCTCTACCTACTACGAACAGCCTGCGCGCGAATCAATTTGCTGGATCCCATCACAGAGAGTTCTGTCCACCTCGACACACTCTACCCATGAAATGCGAAAGGCTTCCTGCAAAGCCTTACTGTGGATGGACAAAATCCTGCACCAATCGGTAATTAGGTGGTTTGTCCCAGATGATGCCCTTACTAAAAGGGAATCACTCCTGATGAGTGCGGTTCTCCAGCTCAATCCAAAGTGAACATTCTCTGCTTGCAACTCAGTGGTTTTGCACAAGACCAAACTGGGAAGCGTGAACACCGGCACATCAGCACAGCTACCAGCTTCCGGTGCTTCAAAGGTGATGCCAAGCCTGTCAACTATTTGTCACCTGGATGGATAGGTCCCCCAGTAGTGGAGGACCTAGCAGCGTCACATGTGTTCTTTCCAATCCAGAGCCGAGACGTTGCTTTCCAGTTGACACCACATTCGAGTTGATTGTCACCATGGAAGTTACTTTGGTGAATAGCTGGAAGGCGCACCCTGTACTTTGGGGTCGTTGCGTCTCGCTCGGCGCAGAATGACAGCCATGTGCTCAAAACCCGGGTAGATGGTTAGGTTAGCCAGGGACCAGCCATAAATACCTGCGGCCGCCTTTGTATTTCCTTACATGGTTCTGGGTCACCAAAATTTGAATACCGGGTTTTGATTGTGACTCACATGGCCTCCAAGCTGCCGGCCGGCGCTCGCCAAGTCTCTGACTTGTGCCTGGATCCGGAACAGTTTCTTTCGAAACTTGTTACATGTGTTTTTGGGGTGCTAGGTGTCGGTGTTGCTTTCCCTCAGAACCATCCGACACGGGCACCCCAAGTTGAAGGGCTGTCTTGTTTTGAGGGCACAAGTGGAGGGGCTGTTTCTCTTCCTTTTTTGTTGTTGAGGGCATTGGCTTTTGGGGATGGAGGGAAACCGACAGGAAGGGCGATTTGCCATTTTGGAGGGGCTCGAGCCTTGAGAGATGCACCCATTGAGAACCACCCAGGTCAGGCGGCTGTCGCCAGGCCCACTACTGCGACGACATCACGGCGGTGCTGTGCGGGCTCGAGGGGACCTTGCCCTGCGTCCAGCCCAAGTCCAAGGACCACTGCCCCTTGGAGTCGCGCGAGGTAGTCTAGGTCCCCCAGTAGTGCCCTTATACCGTTTCTTTTTTGGGGAAGGGTTCCCCTAAAGTAGACTGCAGGAAACAGTCGGTACCCTTATTCTAGCCTCTCTACTGGAGGACCTAGTAGTGATAGAAGCTTTGGGATGTTCAAAGACAGTCAGCTTATGTTTGGTGTCCCTTGGAAACATGCCAAGGGGATAATATCCAATGCACATATGTGTCCAAATGGCAATGGGGTGGGAGCTTTCTTTGCGTTTCTTGGGCGCGGCAACTTTTTCCGGTGCCCATTTTGATTCGGCGAGCTTTGGTTCGGGCAGAATCTCTCCGCGGTAGCAGGTTGGTTGGGTTTTTTGTTTGTCGGATCAATCAGTGTTGACTCAGAAAACTGGCAGGCTGGTTTGGGGCTCCTTATTGCAAGTCCATGTATGTGACATTTATCAGACCAGGAGTATCATGCCATGATCATAAGTTGTACCCTCGGCATAAACTGGATGCACTTCCACAGATTTGGAATGATCTGGCTCTATCTTTATTTTTTGAATCCCCAAATGGTGGTTCGCCTTTTGGCTTTCCTTTCAAACCACCCCGAAAATGGGTACCCTCATTCAAAGCCCTCATTCAAAGCCACACCCATTTGGCTCAGACATGATGGGCTAAAAGGTGCCATCAAACTCACTCGGGGGGTTGAACTCTCTCAAGCTGAAATCTCACCGGTTCGGGGGTTCCCCACAAAGGGAACAAATGGAGGCAATCCACATGTGCGCCCATGCGTGCCCAGAATCAAGCGCCCATCTCAATCGTTCCTTGCGGTGGGTTCTGCGTTGTAAAGCATGGACATGCGAGCACGAAGACAATGGAACTAGAATCACACATCCGGAACTCAGACAATGGCCTATGTAACCGCTTGATCTTGCACCAAGCAAACGACAACGGTGTGAACTTGTTGTGGGTTATAGATGTTGTGACATAAAGGAATACAATGTCCGAAGCATCTCATTCATTTGTCCGGAATGCAAAGCAACATTGCCTGACTCGCATGCTGAGCCGTGTCCTCAGCAACGACATAATGACGTGGTTTTGGCACTGTCAAGCACTGTATCACAGGCGTTCGATCCAAGGAAACTTTACAACTTAGCCTTTCAAATCCAATGTGTTGTTTTGTGACTTGTTTCTCGGGCAGTGACTGAACATGTGTGGAGTCCATAAATTGGGGCTTTTTCTTTGGGGGGCGGAAACTCGCCTGGTTTGCCCCTATGCTCCGATTCACCCCCTTTTAGTCCCACGAGTATGTGGGTTTGTCCCTAGAGAACCCCCCAAGCGGGGTGTTTCCCTTTGATTTCCCAGAGAAAAGGCTATAAACTAGGGTGCCGCAAAGCTACGGCACTGAATCCAAAAAGGCGTTGATTCCCTTTGATTTCTCGGCACAACACTTCAAAAACGCCGTTGACACCAAAAGTGCGCAGTTTCCCTCTGATTTCCCAGAACAACACAACAAAGCCACCCCAGAAGCCAAAGCTCCACTGAAACCAGAAAAGCGTTCCTTTCAATCTCATTTCCCTTATCTTGGTGGCTCGCAGCCATCCCCTCAGCTTTTTAGCTTTTTAGTGTTTAGTGGTAGTTTCCATTTAACCCACTAAAATGTTAGTCACTTTTAGCGGGGGATCTGAAAACGGACCGCCGTCCGTTATGGCACACCCCCCTCTGAGGGCAGTGGCCACATGGCACTTCCTGAGGTCCTGGTTGCCGCCAGGGCGATTGCCACCCAATGTGAGTGTCGCCCGGAGGTTCCATTTTGTTACCCGCATCCCTGGGTTGGATCCGTGGGACGTAGTTTCCCGGGCTAAACGGCGCATTGGTATCCCTCACCTGACCAAAAAGGCAAACATTGCCTTGTTGTTTTTTGGCGACTTGGAAGGTGAGGAAGGAGTGTTGCGGGTCCGTTTGAAAAGGGCCTCTTTGCGCTGAAGGCCGCGGAATCCTTTGTGCTTATCTCTTTCTCTGTTTCAGTACATTCATATATCTGTGTGTGTAATGAGCTGTGTGGCTCCATGTAGTAATCGAGGAAGACCTTGACACCCTGCACACTAGACACTTTTGACCTTACTTCAACCCAAAGTGGAACTTTGGCAATCCTTTGCCTGAACTTGAAGCGCTGTTTCCTGATCCTCAGATCATCTTTCTAGCCATTTCCTACAGCGGCTTGACCCTGTATGCAAACCCATGGAGCTTGGGCATGGCTTAAGCTTAAAGCCACCGGTTTTGGTCCCTCGACAACCGATGCAAAGTACGTTCAGTCGCCACACGAGTGAATTCTGACAGCCTTCAAGTCGCGGTGTTTCTTGTGGTTGAGCTTCGAGAATAGAGTCGGGATCCCGGATGGAGAGTTACACAGTCGGTGTGTGATGTTTCTTTTGAAGCTGCAATGTCCCGTATGTGAGTTTGTCAAGTCAATGTCCAGTTCACACTGGGTTCGCAATGTGTCTCAGGCCAGCAAAAGCGTAGCATAGTTGCAACGCCTCCTTTTTTGCAATTGGCCGCCGGCCCACGCATTGCGCCCTATGACGCCAGATGTTTGCGGATCAGGGTGCCGCACGCATCCTGGATTTGACCGTCGACTCCAACCACCCAACCACTCCCCTTAACCTTAGTGGATTCGTATGGCTGTGGGTCAAAACCAATGGTACATAATGGTACCATTTTGGGGTAGGTGCGCCACCCGTTTTAGTCTATTTTGGTGGGGATTAAATCGGATGTTCACTGCAAATACGGCTGTTTACCTATGGCCACATCCGCTTTCGTAAAGCTCACTCAGAAAAGCGCCACCCTGCCATCCGGAGAAGTCTCACGATGTCTTGCCTTTCTTTACAATGCCACCGCCCAGATCCCTCGGCAAGGCGTGGCTTTTCAGGGGGAACGCCTCAGCCAAAACGGCGCATAGAAATTGATGTCCTCCATTTGCTTAACAATATGTTCTATTTTCTCTTGTTGGTTTTAAAAGGAATGCATCACTACTGGACATATTTTTCCTTTTTTCCTGGGGCCTTAACCAAATGGAAGATTCTCGGCGTTTTCATTATGTCCACAGAAGGGTGACCAGGTAAACATGCGTTCTTGCCCGAAATAAGCTGACCCTGTGCTGAGGATTAAGACAAATGGCGGCTTCGGTCACCGGCCGCCTGGATATCATGCCCAGCGCTAGATTGAGGTTGACGCTGGAAGTTTGCTTCAGGCGTTTCTGTTTCAGCCTTTACATCCTGTGCAGCTAATACAAGAGAAGTGTGAGAATAGTAATTCGTCCTGCATAAGTATTGGCAGATCTTTGATTCGCTGCCCCTGATTTAGGAAAGCAGGCGCCACACGAAACAAAGCCATCTACGCACCAACCAGTGGCACAGCCTCATGCGCTGAGCCGGGTATTCGGCTGGTTTTCCCGGTGAACGACCGGGCCGCTGCTTAAGGCACAGGCAGGAAAAACGCAGAGCCCAGTGCTTGACTCACTGCGCCGTGCAGATTGCCATTCATGGGGCGGATTGCCACGCGTCCTACGGGTATGGGTCAAAATGAATCCCCCAGACCGCAGATTTGAGTCCAGGGCAACCCATTTGAGCCCGGGGCAAGCAAAATCTTTGGGTTACCAAGCATTTTTGACCAGTTTTTGGGGATACCAACTATTTTGGGGTTACTGGGGTTACCTATTTTGGGGGTGTGCTGTTTCAGGTCTTGGAGGTGTGCTGTTTCAGGTTTCCTTTGGGCAGGCTGTCTCTCTCACTCTCTTCGGGCGTTCGAGGGACTCGCAGACTCGCAGACTCGGAGACTCGGAGCTCTGGGTCCCAATGTGTGGTTGGTTGGATTGCCATTTTAAGTGGGAAAAATCAGAGCCAGTTTTGGGGGTACTCGTTTCGGGTCCAGAAAAAATCGGAAGTGAGAAGTGTTTCTTGTTGTTTGCTTTGTTGTATTGTCGCGTTTGGGTTGGTGGGTTCGAGGCTGTTTGCTTGCCTCGCATCGAATGTTTGATGTCGGAAGTCCTGTGCTCTTGGGACTACCGCTCCGAGATTGAGTTTATTGACCTTTGCCTCTGGAGTCCTCCATTTGTTTAAGGTTTTGGTACCACCACTTTGGTTTTAGAGGAAATCAATTTCACTACTGGAAATATTTTCTCATGTTTTCCGGGGTGCTTATGCAAATGGAAGGAATGGGTGGGATTTCCAGTTACCTTCCGCCTCGTAGAAAATGCAGATACATCAAGACATACTTCCCAGGGCTGCATAGTCGCAGCATTCGCACCTGTTTTCAGACCCGAAACCTGAGCGGATGGGACACATGCAACAGATGCCGCGCAAAGATTTTGCCATTGATTCTCAGACCCATTCGCATACACTCATGTTGAACGTATAAATAGTATAGATATATAGATACATATATATATATATGTATAAATACCCACATGCATCAACACATACATATATTTATACCAACAGCTTAGTGGTTGTGTTCTTACAACGAGGGTCATGCAAATAATAATCATGCCCCGCGACGCGTGCCACATCAACACGTTGGTACGGGAGTGCTGTTGGACAGTAGGCATTCCGTGTGACCCACTCACTCCTCTCAAGTCTCGGGCCTTCTTCGAGTTGAATTCAGTACTGGAACATTGTCCAGGTCCCCCAGTGATTGGTGCAACCTTTCTCACCCAACTTTTTTGGCTGGGAGGGTCACCCTAAAATAGACTACAGAAAAAAGTTGGTACCCTTATTCTATCCTCTCTGCTGGAGGACCTAGTTGTTTGAGTTGAATTCTTCACTGGAACACTACTTTACATCGCTTTACCCTAAGAAGTTTCAGGCGCAGCTTGTCAAAGGGATCGCGTTTGGTGAGGTGCAACGAGTCTTTGGCATGGGACAGGGTTTCCTCCATTTCCCTTTTCGGAACCTCCAGTGACAAATTCAATGGAAACAACCAATAAATTTGATCAACGTTTGAGGGGTAAATGAAGTGACCCCTATGGCATTTGGAGATGCTACGAGTTTGTTGATACCTGAACCCTCAAACTACCCAGACAAAACAGAAATGTTTCTCGAAAATTGGGCGGCCCTTTCCCTTTGGTTTTCGAAGCCAAAAGTCAACTAGGTCCCCCAGTAGTGCCCGTTTACCCTTTTTTGGGGGAGGGTTCCGACCTAGTCCAAAGTTGGGTCCATGTTGCTCGAAACTTGGAGACGGATCGGGTGTTTTTGTTTGTTTTCTCGGAAGGCGCTGGTGCTGAAGCAAGAGCTGGAAACCTCCAAGCAGCAAGGCCTCGATGCCCCAAAGGAAGGCAATGGAGCTTCAGACCTGTTGCGGGCTTGTGGTTTTTGCGTCTTTTTTGTGGGTACTTTCTTTTTTGTTTGTTCTAACGGGAAACCAAAAGGAAAGGATATGGCGATGAAAGCGAGATGAAACAAGCTAAGTGCTTGGTGGACCTGAATGCCAATGTCCACCAAAGGGGTCTGAATTACTTCCATTTGGTTAAGAATATGTCTTATTTCCCCTGTTGGTTTTGAAGGGAATCTATCACTACTGGATTTTTTTTCTCCCCTTTTTTTTCCCCATGGAGGATTACAACTGACACCCGTACGTCTACAAGAGTTCAGACCTTTCGCGGGAGGAGCAACCCAAATTAGCCCATGTTCGATTTCAGCACGAAATGAGTGTATTTGTTTAGGGAACCCTCTGTTGGTTCGTTTTCATGGGGAGCCAAAAGGAACACCAGGATTTTGAGCCTAAAATGGACACAACCAAATCGTTTGTATGATTTTTCCAGTTGCTCTATGCACGCGAGTGAGGGACTTCGAAACAGAACTCAGCGGCCGTTCGGCTCTTTATCGCTTCTTCTTTGCTTCATGCAGTCGTAAGCAAATCGACGTGTGACCTGTCGGTTTCCCTGTTTGGTCATGTTCGGTTCCCCAATTGTGATCTCCTTGTTGAAGGTGAACTTGGTGTTCCAAGCCCTCTTTTTGTGGTTTTGAAGAGAAACCAACAGGTAAATCGTTGCGCCATGAGAAACGGCGAAAACAACCAACACACCCACTTGCACGTTGATAGGGTGCAGTTAGACCTGCCAGGCTGGCCTGTGCTGCGGGCAGCATGGGTACGCAGCATGCAGGAGCTCACATGGCGACCGCTGGATCCAAAGAAACGGGTTTCTGAATTAAAACGGGTCCCTTAAAAGTGGACTTTGAGGGAGGGGGGTGATTTCGGAGATCTCCTTTTGTGATTTTCCCTTTGCTGGGAAATGCTAGATACTAGTACATGGAATTGGGGACCCCCCCACCCCCCCTCCCCCTTAAGGTAGGGGGATGGATTTTATAAATTTGGCTAACCACTTTCTAACTTGGCCGAACATCTAAGTACCAGCCGGAGCGTCGCTCCAAAATCGAACGTGGGGTAAAATCGAGAAGAGGACAATGGCTCTGGATTGCATGAACTCAACTTACAGGGGGACAACACGTATGGTGGCCGTATGAAGGACCTTTCGATTTAGACATTCGCTGAAATCAGAGGTTTTGTTGTGTGAATAAGTTCACTTGATGTGGATATTGTGGGAGGACAGCCAACGTGGGTGTCTCATCATGCAAGGGAAGCATGGCCACTAATTCTTGACTCAGTATGAATCAAGAGATTGGAGAGCCGGTGGGGCATAGGGCATTGATTGAGGGCAGGAGCATGGGCCATAGCAAGTGTTTTGTACATCACACGATGTCTCACTTCCCTGAGTTCCTGGGCTTGAGTCACTCTTTGGGTTTGCACCTCTCTTTTTGTTTGCAAATCAAAAGTCGGGATATGTGTTTTGGCCGATCAAAAGTCAGGAACCTCCATTTGCTGAACTGAGTATCTGTGTTGTTTCCCTGGCAGGAATTCACCGGAGATATGTTCTCATTTCTTCCTGGGGCCGAAAAACCAAATGGAAGGGAAGTGAGTTCCTCCGCGCGATCCGCACGTGAGGAGCTCCGCTGCGGGCGCTTCGGCCACCGTGCCGTGGAGCCGGAAGAGGCGACCAACTTTTGGCGGAGAGCGGCGGATGCGGAGGGGGGGGGGGCTTTATCTTACCTCTTAGAAACACAACTGTTCGACTTTTTGGGTAACATGGGCTATATGTCTGTAAAAGATGAACTTCCCCAATCCTTGGAGTTTTAAGGGGATGTTATGGACCATGTGTCTTGGTGGTTAAAACTGTCATGGGGGCTGGGGGGGAGGGAGGGGAGGGGGAGGGAGCCCAAATAAGCCCTTATCAAGCCCTCATTGTTGGTTTAGATTCTAGGTCCCCCGGCTAGGTGCTCTTTTACCCCCTTTTTTGGGGGAATAGACGTCCTGAAAAAAGACGGTACCAACTTATTCAAGTCTGGAGGACCTAGACGTGAGCTGAAGCTCCCTTCCCGAAGCTCTTACCCCAGGGCATCCGAAGGGATTTTTTTCCGTGACCTTCCATTGAAAGGGGGAAAGGGAACGGTCCATTGGAACCCCAAAGATGGTCTTTTTGGAGGCCCAGGACACCGTTGGAAAGTGGTTGGAGGACCTTTTTGGAGGGCCCGTCCGACGCTTAGAGCAGATTGGTGAGGCTTGCTGCGTGCAGCTTCGAGCCTTCGATGTCAGGCGGAAGCCCTGGCTGCTCATGCAGAGCAGTCTGCACATGGCCACGAGCCCAGACCAAAAGAGCCGTTGGGCTGACGTGCCTTTGGTGCATTTTGCCAAGGGATGTTAGGACTTCAACTTTTTGCCAACGAATGGGCTTTCCACCAAACTACGAAAAACAAATATGTTTTCAGCAGAGCAGAAAGCAAGCGAGATGCCAGGGATCAATGTCGACAGCCCCACGATTTCAGAATTCTGATCTCGTTTGTTTGCGGATGTTCACTTAAGCATCGGATGGGCGCTGGAAAAGGCCCTGGAATTGAGGTCCAAAACCTTCCAATGGAGGTCCCTTCCCCCCTCCATTGAGTCCAAGGATGCTTAGGGAACCCAAAGCACATTCAAGCGATTCTGATGACCATATCTGTGATTCTGCTAGAACATGAATGCTAACGATTCTGGTCCATGCTTGTTTTGCTGTGTCGATTTTTCTTGGGATGCTTAGGCTTGTGTCATGTTGTTTTTTTGATTGGTGCCCTTCTTTTGGGGGGGAAAAAAAACGTTACCCCTTCTAGTACAAAAAGAAGCACGGTTCCCCCCTTCTTTTCATTGGTTCCCTTGGGTTGAGGGGCACCCTTCTTGGGGTTGTTCAGGTTTCCCGACCGAGTGGTCTTCGTGAGCCTTTCAGGCAGAGCCATGCGTCGGCAGACCTGGCAGGCAGCACAAGCCGAGCCGGGGACCCAAGAGAGCTGCGAGCCGAGCCGGGGTTCCATTTTTCACCTGGAAATAGACTTAAACGGGGTTCTTTTTTTGAGGTACATGACCCATCCCTGGGTTGAAGTCATGTTTGGGGTAAAAGGTGGAACCCTGGTTGGAGCAATCAAAATCCGGGCAGAGTAAATGAGGGAACCCTTCGTTGTTGGTGTAGATTGGTGGTTTGGATGTGGATGTTTGAACCCCTGGTTCTTGTAGAGGGTCAATGGGAAACAACCCACAACCTCCGAACCTGGCACTGATCAGCACATATATATGTATATATATTAGTGTCCACGGGTTTGGATGAGGAATTCATTTCGTATCATGGCCGCAATCCACCACCTCAAGTCAAAAGGACCGATGGGATTCAGCCTTTCCCCGCTGCGAGCCATATTTGTTGTGCAGGGTCTCACTTTGGGATTTATAGCTTGGTCCGTCCTGGAGCAGCGAGAGCTCAGTGCACAACTTCACGTTGCTTTGCGGGAGTTTGAATCCATTCGGGAGGAAGAGATCCAGCTGACAAAGGGCAATCCATATCCGAACCCAGGCCCAGGAGGCAATCCCATTGATCCGTCAAACTCTCCGGAGATCGGACAGTGGAGTTTGGGTTGCTGGGGACAGCAATATAGCACGCATCTTATTTCAGTAGTTGTGCTCCTGCTTACGTTGTTGGGGCTCCTTGTTTGTGGTTGTCTCCGGCAGCGAGCACCAGTGCAGCTGGAGGAACCTAGGACCCCAATTAGCCCAAGTGCCAAACAGCAATTGGCGCAGCGCCAACTGGCTGAAGTGCGGTTGAGGAGACATGGCTTTGGTGGATAAGAGAGTGCTGGTGGAGTATGATGTGGGAGGTGCTAGGCTTTGGCACGAAAGACAGCCATTGGTACATGTTCAAGGCGATTCCTACATTGTGCTCACTCCAGACGGGGACGTGCATGAAGAGGAGCTGGGTTTGCTGAATTCCGATATCCGGCATATCCGGGTCCGAGCTGCCCCTGGCCGAGTTCCTGCAGGAATTAATGCCGCCGAGATTTATGGGATGCCAGTCTGGTCAAGGGACGATCTGGCTCGGTTCCGGGCTGAGGCGCAGAGGCTGGCGGGGGGTGCAGTTGGCGCCGCCCCTCCAGCTCCTGCAGTTTTGTCAGCCCCAGATCCTGTAGGTGCTCCCTTGGTGGCGGTGAATGTGGGTGACTCTGGATATGGGGCTGGTGTTTTGAAATGGCTAGCCGCTGAGACTGCAGGCTCGGTCAGCTATGGCCAAGAAGTTCAAGGTGTTGCTGCTGCCTACGTCAAAGGTGGAAAGCATGTTCACAGAGGGGCCAGTGGTGAGGCTTTGTTTGTGGAGTGTGTGGATGGCGCAGATCTGCAAGCATTTCTGCAGAAACCGGCGCAGAACGATGCGAGATTGCTGCCGATGCGGCTCAATGCACTGGGGCAGCCTGAGCGCAGCCTGAAAGATGTGGCCTCAGAGTGTAAGGAGATAAAGGTGAGCTGGTCGTTGACGGGCCCGAGAACTAGCAAATGGTGTGTCAACTACCTTGCCATCGAGAATCTTGGCTTTGAGGGGCATCATGAGCGGCTGAGACAAGTGACCAAGGCCGATGCCAGCAGCTGGGGTATCCAAGAGCACTTCCAAGTCTCGATGTCATTGAGGCAGGCGCTCCTGGTCGATCAGTTGGACGCCTACAATCTGCTGTCGGTCGAAATTCAGTTCAGGCGGCTGCAGACGATTGAGTTCAGTTACTCTGAGAAGGCCAAGGAGATGGAGTCAAAGGCGGTTGGAGGAAGACTATCCCTAGAAGAACAAACTACCTTTGGAGGAGTGACCAGACAGTTTGCCACGCTCATGATCTGTCCTGAGTTGCTCACCTATGTGAAGGAGGAAACAGAGCGGGAGGCATCTTTGGCGAAGAATCTGAGGAAAGCACGAGAAGAGAGAGAGGCTGCAAGGAAGCATAAAGGTGGGAAGCAGAAGGAAGACCCTTGAGCGACGGGGTGTGGCAGGGTTTGGGCCCTGAACCTGCCACGTTGCCCCATGGGCCTGTGGGAGATCGAAGGGTCGATCGTGACCTTTTTCCACTCCCTCCAGCACAGTTTTTTCCGCCACCGCTGGGACTCTTCTCGTGCAGATGTCAACAGAGGATTGGACGGCGGCGGCATTTTGAGGCTGAGGTGGGACGCACAGTAGACTCACTGAACGCCATGTATGGTAAGCCAAGGATGAGGCCTGGGGCGAAAAGTCTTTCTGGAATCAGCCTTGGCCAATCAAAGGTTCATGAATTCATTCGGCATGCGATACGGAGAGTCGGGGCGCCACCCGACTCTACGGGCCCAGAAGCCCTTGAGGAGCTTCGGGTTTCGGAGGGGTATGAAGACCTGCCAACTTCATCACCCCTCGGATCCTTCAACCCCGAACTTGTTGCACTGCCCGCTGAAGGTGGCCAACCGGTACCTCTGGCAAAGCTGTGGGGCAAGGACGGGCAGCATGAGGTGGAGGAGTTCACTCGCACTCAGACACTTGGTGCAGCAGAGGCAGAGGAGAAGAAGCGGAGCGTGGGATTGTCCAAGACGTATGAAGACCCCCAATTCAGGGAGCACTCAAAGTATGCTAGCTTCATCAAGCAACTTTATGATCTTCACCTAGTGGATGTCAGCCTTTCAGTTCCGGAAGAGAGGGTATCCATTTTCTTTGTGAAAAAGAAAGGAGGCCGTCTCAGGATGATAGTGGACTGCAGGCTGGCGAACACTCATTTCGTTGAACCGGAGGGCATCAGACTTGCCAGCGCCGACAGCCTGTCGAAGATGGAGATCCCCGAGGGTAGCCCCCTGTACTTGGCAACGGCTGATCTTCAGAATGCGTTTTACACTATGGGCATGCCTGAATCACTGCGGCAGTTTTTTGGCTTGCGGAGAGTGAGGGCTGCAGATTTGGGGGTCCAGGAGGTGGAGGGTAAGCCAGTTTCTCCGGGCCAATGGGTGCACCCCCGTGTTGCAGTCATCCCTATGGGTTGGTCGCACGCGATGTGGTGGTGCCAAAGGTTGAGCGAGAAGCTGGTTGAAGACTCGGGACTCACAAAGAAAGAGCGCCTTCGTGACTTTGATCCTGCTCCGCCGGGAAATTTTTGGCATGTGGAATATGTCGACAATCTGGTGGTGTTTGGAACAGACAGATCAGAGGTTGAAAGAAGGTTTTGGCTGGCGGTGCAGGCGCTACGAGATGCTGGTTTGACGGTTCACGAAATCGAATATGGTGAGGGACAAAGCAAGGTCCTTGGTTGGTCAATCGACGAGAAGGGGACGGTCGGGCCCACGCTGTCAAGGCTTTGGCGTGTGAGACAAGGAATCCGGGAAATTCTGCGCAGAGGGCGGGCAAGCGGACAGCAGCTGGAAAGGCTTGTTGGCCATATGACATTCATCTCTCTATGCAGAAGGGAGTCCTTGTCGGTGCTGGGCGACATTTACACGTTCATCAAAAGGCACTATAGTACAGTTGTCCCTTTGTGGAAAAGTGTGAGAAGGGAGCTTGCAATTTGGGACGGTGTTTCACCACTCATCCATGTCAACATGAAAACCCCCTGGAAAGAGACTCTGTATGCAGTTGATGCTTCCGATTGGGGCATGGGAGTTACAACCAGCACGGTCCGACAACCAGAAGCCGCTGAGATGGGGAGGCATGTTGAAAGATGGCGTTTTCGGGATGTTCAAGCTAGGAACCCACGGCTGTATGTTCATGCAGACGATAAGGTTTTTGGGCTGGATGCGGGCGAGGGCGCAATCAATGGTTCAACAGACTCGTCAGTACGTTTTCCAACAGTGGGTTTCCATGTGGTTGACAGACAGTGGGTTGTGGTGGGCAGACACAGATGGCTCAGACCAGACAGTATGCCTGTGTATGAAGCAAGAGCCACTCAGTATGCAGTTCGGCATGCATTGAGGGATACCAGCAATTTTGGCAAGCGATTCATTATCCTCACAGACTCCATGACGGCAGCCGTTTCTTTTGACAAAGGCAGGGCACAGAGTTTCAGACTTCGCAGGGTTTTACAACAGACAGCAGCACTGACTCTCAGCACCGGCATTCACTTTCGGTCGCGGTGGGTACCGAGCGAATGGAATCCCGCGGACAAACCAAGCCGCGGGGGCTGGCAGCCATCCGTTCCCAGTTTTCACTTTGGGGATGATCCACAACCAGCTGGGAATCTCTGTGACATGGGAGCGGCAGGCCAAGAAGAGAGGCAGAAGCCAGTCTGTGCAGCCAAATTCGCGGAAGAGACATCTGGCAACCCTGGCGCCGGAAACAATGCCACTGACATGGGATATAGAGCTGGGGGACGACAGCGCCAAGGGCAAGCAGAAGCAGAGAGCAGACAGGCGACAGAAAGCAAAAAAAGAGAATCCAGCAAGCAGTTTGAGGCGCTCTTCGGTCAGCGCGAAGACTCTGAAGGCATACGACGGCAGCTGGCAGGAGTTTCAGGAATGGAGCAAGGGCAGTGTTCAGCCAGGGATGGACTTCAAAAAGTTGGACGTGACCCTGACTGCATACCTGGAATTTCTGTACGAAAAGGGCGAGGACCTCAGCAAAGCCAACTATGTGACAGCCGCGGTGGTTTTTTACAATCCTGGCACAAAGGGCCTTTCCTCTCTGCCAATGGCCCAGCAGTCAATGAAAGGATGGAGGCGTCTGTGTCCACCCCGGGCCAGGATGCCGCTTCCATTCGAACCTATGTGTCTGCTAGCAAAGCAAGCGGTGGATTCGGGAAAGCCAGAAATTGGGTTGGTCATACTGCTGAGCTATTTGCTGTACCTCAGACCTTCAGAGCCTTTCAAATTGCGGGTTCAAGACATAGTGAGGCCCATCAAGGGCAACGCAGGGGCTTTCAAGAACTATGCCATACTGTTACACCCGACGGAACTGGGAGTGCCCTCAAAAACCAAGCAATGGGACGAGATGTTGAGTCTGGACTTGCCCCATTTGCAATTTCTGGGGCCAGCGCTGGAAAAGGTGTTGCGTCTTCGAGAGCGGGGCAAGCAGGAGCTGGCATTTCGTGTCAGCATGGTGGAGGTGGTCAGTTTCATGGAGAAGCAGTGGCCTTTGTTGAAGCTTTCCCCTTTAGGAACTCCACACATGTACAGATTGCGCCACGGGGGGGCCTCGTACGAAAGTGCAAACAGGCTCCGGGAACTCACGGCCATCCAGGCCCGAGGTCGGTGGCAAAGTCTGAAGTCAGTGAAGAATTACGAGAAAGGGGGTCGGCTTCAGCAACTGTTCGCCAACCTCGACGAAGACGTTCAGCGAGCAAGCTCCAGAGCAAAATCCAAAATAGGCAAACTCTTCCAGTGCCGGCGCTAGGTGCAACAGCAACTTTGAAGTTTGCCGTATTTTTGGAAATCTTTTGCGGGTGTGCTCGTCTGGGGCGCAAGATTCATCTCGAATGTGGATGGCCTGTTCTTTTGTGGGATGTTAGTTTTGGCGACCAGTATGACTTAACAGTCAGATCCAATCAGCAGCGCATCATTCACTGGTTGCAGCATGGACATGTCCGAGCTGGTCACCTTGGCACACCCTGCAGTAGTTTCTCTCGCGCAAGGGACCGCCCGGGCGGGCCACCGCAGTTGAGGACGGATGACCAGCCTATGGGCAAGCCGAATCTTAGACCTGAGGATGCTGGCAAAGTTCGGGTTGGAAATGTCCTTTTGCATTTCACATGTCGGGTGTTGCTGCTGGCTGTTCAGTATCAGTTGCCTTTCACACTTGAAAACCCCAAAAGATCGCGGCTTTGGATCACTCCGCCTGTGTCACGCTTGCTGCGCAAACAGTGTGTTGAAACCTGCAATGTGGACTTCTGCATGTTTGGCACCGCATGGCGCAAACCCACGAAGATCCTTAGCGTGCACCTGGCTCTCGACATGTTGCATCCGTATCAGTGTTACAGCTCTAAGCGAGGCGTTTGCTGCAAATCTGGAAAGACCCATATTCCCCTTGCGGGTCAAACACCGCAGGGGCAATGGCTCACGAAGTTGGCAGAGCCTTATCCGTGGCAATTTGCAAAAGTTCTGGCCAAGACCTTTTACAATACTGAACTAGCCATGATTGCTGCCGAGTTCGGCCGTCATCTAAATCTCTGAGTCGGCGGAACCAGAAGGCTCCAACAAGTTTGGGCAACAATGGGCATGATACGACAAGCAGAGACGTTTTGCTTCAGATCTTCAGCTGGCTGCAACGCTTGGAAAACCCAAGCAGACAGGTGCTTTGTCACAATCTGGCCTGGAAGAAAAGGTGTTCCGGACCATATTAGTGTCCACGGGTTTGGATGAGGAATTCATTTCGTATCATGGCCGCAATCCACCACCTCAAGTCACCCGCCTCCCCCGCCCGAAGGGTGGTGGGGGACATGATACGACAAGCAGAGACCGCTTGGAAAACCCAAGCAGACAGGTGCTTTGTCACAATCTGGCCTGGAAGAAAAGGTGTTCCGGACCATATATATATATATTATTATATATATGGCGTACTGTCCCTTTGTGAATTATAGTCACTGCGTGGCTCATTAACGATGTTTTTTTTCAATGCAAAAGCAACATATATACTTCTCACTGCCCATGTCTGTTTTCTTCTGTATTTCTATGCCCCCTTCTGGGTCCATGAAAGTAGTTGCATGTTCAGGGTGCCAAACTCACCGGGGGTTTATTGCCCTTGAAATCGCCTTGAAACATACCCTCGTGTTTCCTGGAAATCTGCTGAACTCCACCTCAGATCAGGTTATCCTGAGTTGGTTTGGGACATGGGAAGCCACCCCGAATCTCGAAATCGGGCTCTAAACCACCACTTACTTTCTGAGTTCCCGGACTTTAGTCACTTTTTGGGAACGCCATTTTTGGTGCTAAACAAAAGGTTTCTATCCACTCTGTCAAAACTCAAAACTGATTTCAATCTCCTTTTTTGGCCAAACCACTCAACAAATCGGAAGTGAGAATCCACTCAATCCACTCCATCCACTCAATCCACTCGTTTGAGCCCCGTTTTCGGCCGCTCCACTGGCTCGGAGTTGTTGGGCCAATCCACTTCTAGGTCCCCCAGTAGTGCCCTTTCTCTCCCCTTTTTTTGGGGAGGGTCCCCCTACTAGAAAAGACGTCCAGAAAAAGGAAACGGTACCAACCTATTCTAACCTCTCTACTGGAGGACCTAGTTGGGCAAACCCAAAGGAGCCAAATTAGCCAATTGGATTGTTCACTCATGAGACGAGGCTTCCCAATAAATGATCCCACCAACCCTGTGGAATTTCCCCGCTCAACAAATCGGATGTGAGGATCCGCTCCATCCCCTCAATCCACTCGTTTGAAGCTCCTGGTGCCCTTCTCTCCGCTTTTTTGGTTGGGAGGGTTTCCCTACTAAAATCGACGTCCAGAAAAAGGAAACGGTACCAACCTATTCCAACCTCTCTACTGGAGCAGAAAAACAAGGAGCTCAATATCCTTTCTGGGGGAAAATGTGAGCTGCAGGTCCCTGGCTGGAGCATTTTTTCCCATGACCTTCCGTAGGGGAGAAAGGAACCGGTCCATTAGAAGGTGGCTGGATCTCATGTCAAATAATTGCCTTTTTTTGGAGGGCCCAAGACGTCCGACGCTGAGTTCAATGGGCCAAGCCACTTGGCTTAGGCCGAACACCGCCGCCGCTCTCGGCGCCTCCCAGGTCCCAGGCGCGGCGCCGCCTCGCCGCCAACTCCGCCGCCGACAAGGCGGCGGCGAAGCGCCGGCGGCAGCTGCAGCGCCTGGCGGGGAGCTGAGAAGCGACGTGGGACCTGCGGGGCGGATTCGAGTTCGCCGACTGGGAATACACGAGAGAAATTCCTAGCTTCCATGTGCTTAAGATGAACTATCTAAACCAAGGAAAGGCTAAACAAACCAAGGGGGAGATGGCTACGACATCCATGCTGGGTGTCCCTGCTTAAGATGAGAGAAAGGCGAAACTCCCGCGAAAAAACAAAATATGTCTTCGGCGATTTCGCGTTGCTTGTTTTGCTTTTTCCCTCAGGAGCGATAGCGAAACCCCAAAACGAGAACCTGTTGCGCGAAATCGCCCAAGGTAGTCTTATGTGTTGCCGCTCGCTCAGATGGTTGGATTTTCTCTATAGATACTATGTTGATTCTGGGATTGCACCCTAGCTTCCATGTGCTTAAGAATATGTTTATATTTTTCCCGGTTGGTTTTGAAGGGAATCTATGACTGGACATATTGTTGTACAGGGGGGTGTGAACAAATGGAAGCTACGGAAAATCCCAAAAAGAGACCAAAGAAGCAAAATATGTCCAAGTCTTAGCTGGAAACAGGCTGGACTAGGGCGGAACCATGACAATTCAAGGATGCCATTCGAAGGCCTAAAGCTAAACTTGACTTTGGGCTTATGGGTAGCCGTTGAAGCAAGTTGCAAGCTATCCGAGCCTCTTGCACAATTTGTTTGTCCGAAAGCTGAAGAGTCCGAGAGGCAAGACTTGGCTTTGGGAGGGTTCTGAAAAAGAAAAAGCGAAACCGCCGGAGGCCATTTGTATCTGCTACGGTTGCCCTGAAGCCGCCCCCGGCCAATTGCTTTTCGTTTGACCAGGTGTCGTTGATTTCGAGAAAACTGTATCGACCTCCCGCGGTTGATGTTCTTGGAGAATCCCATATTTCTCGGTTTGGGAATGGATGCGTTGAATCGCCTTGTCTCCCCTGGACCTCCAGCACTCCCTTGGGAAGGCGCAACGGCTTGAGAGGACCTTGCAGGCGAATGGGAACCGATGGGATGTGACCTTTGGCAGGTCGTATTGAAATGAACCTCTGAGTCGACTCACTGTTTATACCATTTGCTGTAAGCAACTTCAGCAAGCTTGGGCTAGTTTCTGCACCTAGCTACCTGCAGGTTGCTTGCGGTTTGCGGTTCGTTGCCTTTCGGTGAGGTCTGGTGAGTATCCTCAAAGCCAACGTCCTTATGCATGTGTGAGTGTGTTCCCAGGTTAGCATGTGTTTCAAAGGATTGCATGTTTGTTTGATGAGTTTCTGGACAAGTGCCCCCATGGCGAAAGTGCCAGCTTCAAATGATCTCGGACAGGCCCGTACATGCATCATGGTTGCCATGCTGCACCTTGGTAAATTGTATGGCATTGCTTCCATTTGCATAAGGATGTGTGTCCGTTGTTGTTTGTTTCCAGGCAATCTATCACTACTAAAAATATGTTCATTTGTTCCAGAGGGCGTAAGCACATGGAAGATTAGAATTGACGGTTTCTAAGATTTTGACTGCTTTGACAACTTCTGGTCTAAGCCAGTCGTAACTTATCGCTTGTGATGCGTTCAACGCTCTGACTGCTGTGAATGTGTACGTGATTGTGCGTGTTGATGATAGGAGCCAACGTGTTCACTATGTTGCTGCTAGATGTCAATTGATCTAGATTGGTTGAGCAGCCGAGCATTATCATTTCGTTGAAGGTGTGCTTACAGCACGCACACACACACACACACCCACACACATGCACACATACGCATCAGACCCTTGTTAGATGCATGAGCCCCATTCCGGGGTGTTGCGGATTGGCTTTGGGAATGTCAGCCGCGATGTATCCTGATGATCTAGCGATGCCATTAGTGTACATTGCAGCCAGCTCCTTGCAAGGCAAACTGTGCAACCCTACGTATGCGCAACCCTTTGCCAGATTGGTTGAAGTTGCTGCCTATGTTCGTTCTGTATGTGGTATCAACGGAAGCACGAGATGCAGTTGATTCTTAGCAACGGACGCAGCAGGATCACCCGTCGTTAGACCGAATCATTCCTCGAGTTGTTTTGTCGACCCCTCATTGTCCCTTAAGCGGTGCATTTGTCATGAGAGCCCCTCGTTGGAACCATGGAACCACAAGCAAGACATGGCCCCAACCACAAACTGGCGGAGCTTTTATCCCTTTTGTTGTCTTTTGTTTTTCCCCCATGGCCGGGAGTAGACTTCGTTTGAATACCGATTTGTGACTGTGACTCCGTTCGCCTCTCGGAGCGCTCTCGCCAGGCCATCCAAAGACAGGCCGCGCGAGACCGCAAAGGCAAACGCCACGTGGCCCCGAA